CTTGGCCTGCTGCCCAAGCCAAAGGAGGGGTGGGGTGTGGTGAGCGGGTGGGGAGCATGCCACGCCACAGGCCCAGGGGAGCCGCAAATGCCAGGTGGAAGCGTGGGCGGCCACTCGCGCTCTCCCCCTCTGCCCCCAGGATGCCTCAGTACCACCGTCGACCCCGCACGATCACTACTCCGGCCCAGGCCGCTCGAAAACCTCTTCCCGGCCGGGGTCGACGTCCCTGCCTGCAATTCCGTATCCCCCCCCTTCCCCGAAAGCCACCTGAGGCCTAGGACACGCCTGTGAGTGAAGCCACCTCCCCTGCCTGTCCGGCCCAGCCGCTCCATACCTATGTTCCAGCCTCCTGCGTTGAGCCCCGGGTCCGACATGCTGGAGCAGGAGCCCGACGAGGCAAAGCTGGGCTGTGGGGCGGGAAGGAGAGGGAGTCGCGTCAGCCCCGGGCCGCAGCTCGCCCCGGCCGCCCAGAAAAGCCCCCACAAAGAAGTGGCTGCGTACGTATCGGCTGTGGGAGAGCCCGGTGGAGGAGCGCGGCGGGAAGGGCCCCGCGGGACTCACGCACCCCTGCGGCCTGGACTGGGCCTCGAAGACACTGCAGAGCATGGCCAGGGTCTGCACGTCGTGGAGCTGACAGTAGTGAGCCAGCCTGCGGGGAGGAAGAGGAGAGGGCAGGGGTGAGGCCGCGTGGTGCAATCTGCAGGGGGCGGGCAGGCGCCACCTCATTCCCGCTCCCGACTGGGTTTAAAGCGCTTCCAGCTGGACAGACAAGCAAGGCCCAGCCCCCGGGAGAGGGGGCCTCTGCGGGGTGGGGCTAACCCCTAGCTACCCAGGGGGGTTCCTAACGACCCCACCCCACCCCCAGGAGCAAGAGCTGGAGCAAGGTCAGGCAGGTCTGATCCCTTCGGGCTTCAGCGTTACCGGGTGACGATGCTCCGGCTCCTGGGCTCCCCCCACGCCCGCTCTAGGCCAGAGCCCTGCAGGACAGCGCAGACGGGAGCCCGCGGTCGCTCCCCAAAGCTCGCTGGTTGGGGGAGGGCGGGGG